CACTATCTTTATACAAGCCTTGGTTTAAATAAAACCCTCTTTCCTGTCTCTTTTTAATGCATATTAAAAAAAGAAGTGTCTAAATTAGCTTCAAAAAATAAATCTACCAAGGTCAGTGGTGCTATCTTCAAACTGTAGTAATAAAAGAAATGAGAGGAATCTTTATCTGTTGCTTTATGGTTTAGCCTTTCACTTTTCCTGCCCGTCTCCAGATAGACATTGTTATGCAGGAGGTTCCTTTATCTCCACAGCAGCTCGGGCCTGAGCCTTGAGCTCTGGCACAGCCAGTAGTTCACAGCAAGTGTATCAAATTTCATCAGCTCGCCTGTAAATCAATCATCTCAGCCACTCGATGAAGGGGGGGCATGGAAGTTAATGCACAAAAGGCAAGGGGCAAACTCGGTTTTTTACCCCATTATCCGTCACTTGGAGTTTGGCTGAGCTCAGAAGCTCTTTCTCAGCTGAGATTCGGCAGCTTCACCCTCTGCAGCCGTCAGCACCCCGATCCTCTCATGCTTTGCTCGGGGGCACACCTGAGGAAGTTGTCCTTGCAAAAAAAAAAAGATGGATTTTATCTTCTCTTCCTCAACACATTCAAATTCTCCCGGTCTTCTTCGGCTTCTTGCAGTGCATCAGCCTGCTGCAGCTCGGACCTGTCAAGGTTTTAGAACCTTCCAGATGACAATATGCAGGAGGAACAACATTGTTAACTCATAGTGTGTATTTTATTGGAAACCCTGGAACGTATCCCTGCTATCTCATGTGATATCCACAAATTTACATTTTCTTTATGTACTTTGTCAATATACAGTAATGCACTGTGGCTGCAGACTAGTTTCTGCTGACATGATTACATTTGTTTAAATCTTTTTGTTTTCTGGGACGAGCTCGCAGAATGTTTCGTTTTACCTCCGCTGCTTTGCATTTGACAAACCGAATGTCAAATCTTTGATTTGTACATTTCCAGTGTGACTGTTTGCTTTTGTCATATTTAACTGGATTTCAGGCTTGTTTAGCTGCATACTTCTACTTGAACGTTACAGTCTAATTCCCACGCTGCTCAGCAGAGAATCCTGCGGCTTGGGTCACATCTTATGAGCAAAGAAAAGTTAGACAAAGCAGCCGTGCAGCACTGAGGATGTTACTTCAAAATCTGTTTTAACTAGAAAAATCGCATTTCCTCTGAAAATGCAGTGTGATTACTTATTGCAGAAGAACTTGCTGAAAAACAGCTGAAATTTTCTAAAAAAAATAATAATAATGCTTAAATGCAGCCAAAATGGAAGAACAAGCCTAAATTAACAGAAGAAAGCAGAACGAACACATATTTGCCCATATATGTGAGCAGAAATGAGCACACAATAGGGAATTAGCTTCAAAAAAAGTTAAAATCAGGAGAAAATAGCTGAAAATTAGCTGTAAAGGCAGAAAGAACCTGAAACTACCAGAAGAAAGTGCAGCAATGAGCTAAATTGTGGAATTATCTGGAGAAAAAAAATACATAAAACTGTTAAATAGTAGCTGAAATAGCAGAAAAAAGCTGAAAGGAGCACAACAAGCTGAAATTAGCAGAACTATATTAATTAGGCTGAAAGTAGCCAAAATTACCAAGAAAATGGAAATATGTGAAAACTGCTGAAATTAGCTAAACAAAAACGTTCAAAAGGTAGCCGAAAAGTTAGAACAAGCTTAAATTAGCATAAGAAAGCAGAAAGAACATGCTTGCCCAATATGGCTGAAATAAGCAGAAATGAACACCAACAAGTGGAAATCAAAATAAGCAGAAATATGAAGGAAAAAAAACAGCTAAAAAGAAGCTAAAAACAGCAGAAATTGTAATCTTAAAGTACCAGAGTGAAATGGAGAGAGCAAATTCTTGCAGAATTTGGCTGAAAAAAAATTGAAATTACTGCAAAAATGTGGAATTAGACAAAAAAGCTAAAATTAGCATAAAGCGGCTAAATATTAGTAGAAAAAGTTTAAACTTGCAGAAACAAACTGAAAGGAGCATAACAAAGTGAAATTAGCAGGAAGAAGTTAGAAGAAGCGTAAAATTGTGGTTATCAGATAGAATCTGAAAGGATCACACAACAGCTGAAAGAACAGCTGAAATCAGCTGAAAAAAGCAAAAAAAAATTAACAAAATAAAAGGATCACAATAGTGTGAATGCTTCTTAAGTGTTCACACAATCATCAGAAGAACCACCGTCCACAAGAGGGAAGTGTTTTCACATCCATCCTCCTGTTTCCTTGCCTCCTACCTTCAGAGTTTAGATCCTGCCTGGATGTTTGAGGATGAGGCTGAGGAAGCAGAAGAAAACGCAGAGATATGGGTGATGTATATTTAGAGCTCTTCCACAGATGGTTCAAGAGGTAAAATCTATCTCCTCCTGTGCACAAACACACACACCCATTGTAAATGAGTCATGTTTCTGCCTGCATCACCTCCTCTGCGTTTAATTTACAAAATGTGACTCCACTACAACTATCTAACTACTTGGATCATGATTTAGCTCGCTCTGACCCTGACTTGTTTATAAAGCTTGCGGTTCGCACGCGCGCTCACTGTGGTTGCTGCAGGCGCCATTCAGGGGAAGTGTGGCGGTTTCCTGCTCACACAGAAATGTACAGTGTGTCAATTACTTAATCAATTCGCAGTTAATGCCTATAATGATTGATGAAGCTGTCTTGGATCGCTGCCTGCAAACTGGCTTGGGAGGCGAGTTAGAAAAACATAAAGGGTTCACATGAACATTGGAGAGATTTTATATCTGGAGAACACGTCCAAATTCCTCGTGTGATCTCACAGGATCTGTTAGCACGTCACAGGCTTAATATCTGGATTTAGCCATGTGAAGTAAGTAGAACCTGTTTTAAAATGTCTGCACTGTTTCACTTCTGTTTCTTATTCTAATTTCCCCTTTCCCATTACAACAGTCCGTCCTTTATTGCAGGTGTTTACGTTCCAGACCCCCCCACCCCACCCTGCAACAAGTGAAAATCTGTGAAGTAGCAACGTTATATTTATTTTATATATATATATATATATATATATATTAAGGTTTTATAAACCCTTCCCACATTCTTGCAATGTTCTAAACTCTTAAACCTTTAAGACCTTTTAACATTTTAACAACATAAATACAGTACTGTACTGTAGCTACTAAATTTTACTTTCCAGCTCAGCAGAACAGCAGCTGCTCGGTTCTGCTCCGACCCGAGAGATGAAAAAAGTCTCAGTGGGCTTCAGATAGCGCGCCGGACCTTCGGCGGCACGCGTCCTGCTCGGAAGTCCTCGTGGGCCAGATACCAGCTCTGGATTCGCCGATGGATCTGCAGGTCCGGTTCTGGTCCTGTTCCCGGTGGGTTTGGTGTGGCTCTCTGAATCCGCTGGACGCTGAAGTCCCTGTAGCTATGTTTACACGCGCAAAATTCTTTGACCGGATTGAAATGTTTTCAGATTAAATACTTCAAATGTGTCGTTTACATTGACACCGTTCGGGTTATGAATCGGTGTAAACCACACGTTTCGTTCTGATCACAAATTATTTCGGATCGCACTGATTAAACAAAAAATAACCTGAACGAGGCGTTTACATGACGCGTTTTTATTCCGAACGGCCGTTTAATCTGATTAATTATGTCCATGTAAACAAAGCTTGTGATGAGCACCAAACTTTTTCTGATCAGATCAAAACTTTCCCTCTTCGTATTTCAGCAGAAGGCAACCCTGTTGGCTTCAGGGAAACGTAGTCCTTATAAGCAGGGGTACAGTATACCTCGTTTAGATCACATGACTTTTATGGAAATGTCCTGACAAATGTTCCTCAAAACATTGTAAAGTAAAAATTAAACATCAACACATTTTCCATATGCAATGTTCATAATTGAAACATTTAAAAGCAACATTTGTGAACGACTCCCAACTGCTACGTGTGTTCGTTTACATACAGAAACAGCCGAAGTGACAGTAAATCTATCAGGAACAAAGAATGTGCCATTTAGAAAGAATACTGCCAATAATTTTAATGTTTCAGTTCATAGTTACGCTCATATTTATCAAGTGAAACATGCAGATTAAAGGACTTTATTTACATTAAGTGTGGACCTACACTGTAGTATTTTATAACAATATATACTATCAATATATAGTATCAATGTATACGTACTATGTAAAATACTAGAGTACACTCCTCCAAACTGCCCTGTTTATAGTTCAGGGCTGCCTGTTTGAGTTCATAGATTGCAAAACTGGATTTCTGTTTACAGTAGTCCCTCGCTTCTTCGCGGTTCGACTTTTGTGGACTCGCTCTTTCGCAGTTTTTCAAAGTAAGATTGGACACGAGGAGAAAAAACCATGTACAGGACACACGATTGTCGACTTTAATATTACTCACGTGATTGGGACAGTACTGGATACTGTACAGTAAAAAGTTAACAAAAAATAAATACATTGGACAGGCACCACCATTTTGTAGTTTTCTCTTAATAAGCCTATACTGTATTTTTTTATACCTCTGGTATTATTTTTTTTAACATTCTGTTATTTTTTATATCTTGTGTTTCCTTTGTATTGAAACTCTGGCACAACAATTTCATTTGTTATCAATAAAGTGCTGTCTCATCTTATATGAGCTTTTTGGCTACTTTTACATTTCAGCTCTTTATTTCAGGCTTTCAGCAAATTTCAAGTTCAGCTCAGATTAGCACGTGCTTTCAGCTTCTTAAGCTGCTTTCAGCAGAAACCATTCAGCAACGAGCTGCATTATTACCACTGTCTATTATATTTATATATTTGTATTTAGCACCCCTTAGTCCTAGACGTGCATGAAATGTTTGGGGGGGGGGGGGGGTGTCCCTGCATCTGGACCACGTGACTACGCGCAACGCTTTTTCTTTCTTTCTTTCTTTCTTTCTTTTTTTTTTTTTTGCAGGACAAAATCCAGACTCCCCCCCCCCCCCCCCCCCCCCCCCACCTCCAGCACGTCACCGGATCCTGATCCCTCGCAGAGCCCGAGCGGCAGCAGCGCAGAGCGGAGCAGATCTGCACCAAGCTGCCTTTCACCCGGGACAACAACAACACGGAGACAAGTGTGTGTGTGCGCGTGCGCGCCAAGTGGGGTTTTCTAGAGTCACAGCAACTTCAGATCGGCCGGGTAGGGGGTGTGCGCTGCTTCTCCCACCGGCGGAGCGCTACGGAGAGGAGGAACTGAACCCGGAGCGCGGATCTGTGAGGTCGGAAGTTATTTTGAATAAAGGAGCAACTCGACCCGGTGCTGGAAACTTCCCAGCGCAGCATCGATCGAGGACCTCCCGCCCACTTCACCACTGCTCCACAGCGCAGGAAGGAGTAGAGACTTGAGCCGCCGCTGCGGTGGATGGAGGACAAACTCGCGCCGCCTGCTTGTTTGCGCTAAAAGAGAAATCCCTGCAACTTTGCCTGGATCTCATTCAAAAGGGGACCCACCCCCCCCCACTCCCCCCAGCAGCCAGGTCCTTTACCTCCGCGCAAACTCTCCCATTCAGCCACGAGGAAGAAGAGGACGGCTGCAGGCGTCAAATTGATGCTTTGGCACGGGGGAGGCGCGCGGCCGAGCCTGTAGTTGTGGTTTTTTGGTTTTTTTTTTTTTTTTTTTTTTTTTTTAAGGAAAAAGTCTCCCGCGGCTCATTGTGAGGGAGTTTGTGGTCCGAAGTGGGATTTGCAGAAGTTGCATGCGTGGTCTTTAACATCTGGAGTGAGCCTGACCCCCCTCCCCATCCACCCACCCCCCCTGCAGATCCATCCGCTCTCGGGTTCTCAGACAAGACCCGGATAGCTGAGGTGCCATGGCGCTGCTGCGCGCGGGGATATGGACGCTCCTGTTGGCACTGCACACCCAAGGTAAGCTGCAGTCATCAGCAGGGAATCATCTGCCCTGTTCCACCCTGCACCCCCCCACCCCCCAGTGTGTTTCTGCAGCAGGTTTATATATATACATATATATTATATTTCCATAATGGCGGATACTTGATGTGCGGATCGATCTGATTTGCGCACCAAGGTGTGAGAGAAAACTGGAAAGCGAGTGTTGTTTCTCTTCTTGTTAGAATCCATCCCTCTCCAAACGGCTGCAGAATACATCTTCAGCTGCCAAGAGCTGAACTTACCCTGTCAGCAGGCAGATGGCGACATGTGCGAGTCATGGGAAGACCAGCAGCGTCTTTAAGTTTTTCAATAATTCATGTAAATGGTGACTGGACGCACACAGGGCTGTGGACTGAAACATGTCACCTGCTGCCTGACTGGTAAATGGAACAGTATAGAATAGAAACAGATTGATTTGCTCCTCAATGGGGAAATTCCAGAGTCCAGGAAGCAAAGTGAGGCATACAGAACATATTTGTATAAAAAATGGAAATCTATTCACAAAAATTGAGAGAAATTATGCAGAACAATTTTGGGAGCATTGTGGAGTAGATCTCAATATCTTTAAATTATTAGTCCAATTAAAAGCATTGTTGTTGTTTATGCTTATGGTTTTATGATATTTCACAAGAAGAGTGACTCAATATACTTCTCTTATCAGCCACAGCAGGGGCGAGGCTATGGGTGGGCCTGGGGAGGCCTTTGCCCACCTATTGTATGTCACAGCCCACCCAATCAATTCAAGCTGCCTGTTTTCTTTTTTTTTATGATCTTGCCAAATAGTTTAAATATTAGGAACTCATCTGTTTTATAGCTTATTTTTGGAACTTTACATTGTCTGTGGACTGTTTAAAAAAATATTGACGTGTTTAAAGACTTTCAGTTTTCTCAAATGTTTCTTACTGACGAGCGTAGGCGATTAGAGTCCTCTAGCTATGTTAGCTTGTAGGCCTCAAGCTTTATACAGACACAAAAAAATTCTAATCTCGTTATTAAAACCGTCTTCATCTCATATATTTAAAAAAACATTTAACCAGCAATATTGCAAGATTCTTGCTAAACAGAAGTTAAATCCCTCTGTGAGCATCTCTCACTGTGTGTTAACCGGTGGTTGGCATGCTAGTTACAGTAACTTACTAGTACCTTTAAGTAAATAATTAAATTCAGTTTGTTCATATAGCACCGAATCACAACAGAAGCCGTCTCAGGGCACTGAACAGAAACATTCAAATACATATAAAGTAAGCTAAACACAACTTTACAAAAATAAAAAAGTTAGCAGCAGGATATCGGAAGGTATTCTATTCTGTAAGGCTAGCTAGGCATGCTAAGCCAACAAATGTGTTTTTTTTACACAAACCTACAAGTTAAAGTGACAAACATCACATATTGGCTGGTATTAGCAACAGGAAATGACATCGAGGTCAATAGATCTCTGCAGTGTGTTTAAGCAATGCAAAGGTAGATTGGTTTAACCATATCCTGCAGTGGTAGAGTATATCTCGACAGACAACACAGACAACGTACTAATAAACATTCCCCATATATTTCAAAAGCTATGTTAAATGTTGTGTCCCACCCAGTTTCATTAAGGCCCTCATGTCAATTTATTTCCCACGACACCACTGTGCCACACTGACGCCAGTTCCTGAGGGAAAAGGGATGGGTATGTTTGGGTGGTGGTTAATAAATGGATGAATGGAGTGATATTTTGACGTTGATCATCCTGACATTAACGCTCCTCAAAGTGGGTCTGAATATTTCACCACCGCCCTAATAGGCCTATTTGACTTATTGGATGGAGCATCATTATTCAGGTTGTATTGACAAGCTCTAATTGGAAAACAAAACAGGCCCGCAAGGAGACATGTGCGTACGTGCTTGTGGTCCATTATGCTGAAGGGCTTTTTAAGGCTGAGCTGAAAGTTTTGCCGGTTTGTTTACAGCTTGGATGGGTAAGAGTGTCTGGAGCCTCCGTTTCAAGAACGAAATGGAAGAGGGTCAAGTGCGGTCAATAAATATCAGATGATGTGATGGCTTTATTTTTTTCTGACAGGCAGCAGCTTGTTTACTTGTAATGTTTTGCTGCTCTTACTTGCACATCCCCTTTTAGTCTAATAAACCTTTCTTTGTGGAGTATTTTTTTAGTCCCTTGGAGCTTGAGAACGACCAAGATACTGACCTTGGCAGCAAGGCTACTTGTGGGGTCATGTGTTCAGGACTGATTGAATACTTTGATCAAAAGCCCCGTCTGATTTATATTGAGATGATCCCCTCGCTTGTGGAGAAGATCAGGATTAACTCATTCCCTTGGGATTCACAGTGAAAATCTTTTGATGCTGTTTAATCAAGTGTGTGGAAAATGTCTCAAAAAGTGCCCTTTAAGCATCCTGGAATACTTTTTCTGTTTGAGTGAAGCAGGATTTGCGTTTGAAGCATAATTAGACGTCATATGAATACGCTTCATGCTCGTTTCTTTATTTTAGACCAAAGTGAATGCATAATTAGTTTGTTCAGACATCTTCAAGAAAAGAGCAGCTTTTAATTTTCTTTTTTTTTTTTTTTGTCCATGAGATGTTTGGACCCTTTTGACATGCAAAAACAAGAATTTGGTCTTTCACCCTGAGGTCAAAGGGCGTCACCGTAAATGCCCACTTGTCTCTGGTGGCCTAATTGATATACAAGATACCCCAAACTTCTCCCTCATTACCAAGACACAAACAAGTGAGAAAGGCTAATGCAAGCAGCAGCAAGCATAAATAAAAAGCCTGTTGCAGTTGTCCACAAGGGAAAACCATTTGTGCTTGTCATGGTAATGGCCATTTTGTGGAAAAAGCATTGCCAAATTCATAAACATAGAAATATTCAGAGCTGCTTGCCAAATAGATGATCAAATAAAAGGAACACTGAATATAATGGATCTGTGAGTAACAAGGGCAGCTCTGTTTCTGCACTTTTATATGAGCACTCAGTCTCTCCTGTATTCCAGACTGATATTTAATTGAGTGTGAATTGAGTTAGTAACCAGGTGGTTATTCATGGCTCGGCTCCATCCATGGGTCTTGGTGCCATACCAGCCTCTATTGACGTAACTCTTATGTGGTGTAAGAAGACTTTCCAGCTATAATTCCTTCTCTTAGTTAGACTTATACGTTTGTGAAATTACCTTTGGACGGTGCGCCAGCTTAGAATGTGGTATTAACCAGTGTTGGAAATTGTTATGGCTGTATCTCTGTAGCTGAAACTATTTGGCTGCTGTTTTTGTCTTAACATTTAATAAAGTCTTTTGGAAATATCAGTTTGGAAGTCTAGCAGTAAGCTAAAAAGATGTTGCCGGCTTTGGTTTTGATGCCCAGCTTCATTGTTTCACTTATTAAGGTCTTGGCTGCATGTTGCCAAAGCCTGATATGTTGCACCTAATTTTGACCTGTAACATGTTGCACCACAACCGTGTGTATTTCTTTCTCACATGGAGAACATAAGGCTCTTTTGTGCTTGCAAAGTCATATGACTCGGATTTATTGACAGTGGAGTCAGGGGTTTTGAAAACAGTTGAAAGAAAATTTGTGTTGAAATACGTGTTTGAAGTTAAGCACCAAACAAATGTGGGATTTCTTAGTAAGGTGTTGAGTTACAACATGCCAGGAACGTTCAGTGCAACTTGGCATTAATTCCACAAGTGTCTGGAACACCTCTGGAAGGGTGTGATACATCTACCTTCCATCTTTTTTTAAATTTGATGGTGTTGGGTAGCACTGTCCTACACACCCTAACAGAATCTTCCATTGGTATTCCGTTGGGTTGAGACCTAGCGACTGCGAAGGCACAGTATATGCTTCACACCATTTTAATACATAACCTTTTCAGGTGTTGAACTCTCATGCCTTTTGGTTAGAACTTTTGAGACCTCTGAGATTCTCCTAAATTCTCAGAACATTCTGCACTAACTACCTTTAGTTACCTGATGAAAATCAAAAGACAGATTATTATCTTTGTTTCTCCCGAGGCGTCACACTATGGTATGCACTTTACAGTCAAGCGTTTTCTGTTGACCTTATAACCCTTTTACATAAACACTTTTACTTACATTTCTCTTCAAGATTGGAATAAAGATATACTCTTCTTTAAGTCAGTTAAATAGCCTTTGAGAATTAAATTCTTGCCCTATGTTCCCTAACAACAAGCCTTCTTTGAAAATTACATTTCCACTCACTAACTTGATACAAACTCTGAGTCAACTTGGCCTGTTCTGCTTTTTCATACTGTACAAACCACAGAGCTCAAGCGGATGTTAATTGCATAATTGTAGCATACAGTGCACCTGTGTGGAAGCACCTGCATTTGTTGTTTCTCTAGTCGTGCTCTGAGTTTTCCTTTAATTTGTCACCTGCCAGCATGTCACGGAGGAAACACTGCTTGCCTCTAACATCCTAATTATCATTTTTACTTTGTTCTTTTTTTTAATTTATTTTTCTTTTGGAGAAAACTGTAATTGCTGCTCCGTGGCATTTTGCTTTTCACTCGGATGACAGTTGTGATATAAATGAAATGGAGAGTGTCAGTATGGGATTTTTGGACCTTGATGGTTTTAGTTTGAATGCAAATTGCTTTGATCCCCGCTCCTTTGGGGAGTCTCCCTTTGGTCCCTGCTGAGGTGATGGATGGGTGAGAGCGCAGCGAATCCTGGGAGACCAGTTTGAGGGAAGCCGACAGAAGATTAAGCTTCGCCTTTTGCCATAGGAACTAGTTGAGGCACTTAGCCACTCAAACTTCATCTAATTTAGCTCATTGTGGTTCTACTGTCAGCTCTTTAGCAAATCCTCCTCAGAACACCACATGGAACGTCTCTGTAAAGCTTCCTTTTTTGTGTCTGCTGTGATTGTAGTATTGGAGTGGCTGATCATTAATTTCACGAGATGTGTTTCTTCTCTTTTAAGCTCCATTCCATACACCGCATTAGTTGATCAAAGAGGCAC